ACTTGAAATGAAGTTGAAACGATTACCCTTTTTTCTTTTTTTTTTTTTTTCAAAAAATCATTCGTTTCGAAGACTGTTAGTAACTTGCGAGTAAATGCACGTACATCCAAGAAAATTTCAATGCAGGGACCGTTAAACTGCACTCCTTACATATGTATATATATTCACGCATGAACTTACATAGTCACTTGACTAAACATCGTTAACATTACGCACAATTCTCACTTATGTTAGCTGGTTTCCTCTTGTCTTGCTAGCACCGTTGTACCGATTGCATCTTATTAAAGTAAATGCTTTTAAGGTTGTGCACATACTCGATCAATACTAACACATACAAATTTATGTTTTTCTCTCTCTATTTTTTTTTTTGTAAGTTAACTCTGTTTTTTCTTCTTTTTTCTTTCATTCTTTCTCTCTCTCTCTCTCTTTCTCTGTCTTTCTTTTTGTGGTCACCTTCGATCGATGTCTCGTAGAAAGTAAAATCACGAACGTCCAGTACTTGTCTGACATACATTCGACCAATTCGTATGTATGTATGTGTGTATATGTATATATACGTCCTCGAGAAACTTTTTGAAAGGATCTTTCGTCGAGTCCAAGAGAGTTTACCGATTTGGTCAAAAAATCGACCCACCCGTTCATCATTCTGTAAATATATCTTGAAGTATTTATTTGCGTTATACATCTTATTCTTTTTTTTTTTGTTTTTTTTGTCGTTCAATCTTTTCTCTCCTACATGAAATAATTTATTTTCTTATAAATGTTAATATAAGAAAAAAAATTCCTTGGATGAATAATACGAACAATAAATGTAAGATATCTTACACGAAAGTGTGACACATTCGTTAGATATCAATGAAAATTTAAATCGCAAATATGGATATACTCGTGCGATTAGAATAATCAAGGATGTGAAAGATGGAGTAAATAATAAGAATAATAATAATTGGAAGAAGAAGAAGAAGAAGAAGAAGAAGAAGAAGAAGAATTAGAAGAATAAGAAGAACAGAAAGAGAGGATAAAAGAAAAGAAACGTAGCGTGACTCGAAGTTGTAGTTGCGATTCAGTTAACTTTTTTTCTTCCAAGTTCACAAGAAAGACCGAGACCCGATCACCTACATTTTACGGTCAGCTTGTTCTCTCTCTCTCTTTTTCTTTTTCTTTCCTTCTTTCTTTCTTTCTCCCTTGCCTTGTTCTAATAAGAGAGTCGTGTTCGGCCGTGAACACAAGAACGTTTGCACGAGTTCCTTCAGCGTGTAGATATTTTCAAAGCGTGTCTGTTGCACGTGTTCTATTTTTTCTATTTTGTTTTTTTTTATCTATGAGTGTATATATATATATATATATATATATGTTAGTTTTAAGTATAATAAGTAATACACGTATAATATAGAAGAACGATTAGTATCGCCGAATAAAATAAGAAGGCTAACTGTAATGCATCTAACGCATATCACCTATGATCTCGTACCGTTATCTCGAACCAGAAGTGCGTGTGTGTATGTATGTGTGTGTTATAGGTTGTGTTACTTTTCTCTAAGTTTTGTATCCTTTTTCGGCATTTTCTGCATCATTATACTTTGACTTTTTTTCTTTTACTTTTAGATTATAGTAGAAGTAAATGTATATACATTTCTAACGTATTACGTGGGTTGGTTAGTTTCGATGTTGACGTTTGGTATCGCTGAAATCAATGCGGAAGCATGATTCTTCGTGAGAGCAAGATTATTATACCTATTAGGGATGGTCCATTCTCTCTTTCTCTCTCTTTTTCTCTCTTTCTCTAGGAAAATGAGTTTTGAATTTATGAGCTCGTATAACTGTCTATCTAAATCTTTGCATTGAGAATAGGAATATGGTTATTTATCGCTGTCAATAGAATTTATGAGAAGATTGTTTATTGAAGAATAGTTTAAGATATTTTTCGGGAGAAAAGTTAAAAAAGAGAAGAGTTGTTTTTCTTATCAAATTATTGCAAAATATTGAATCCTAATGACTTAGGTGATAGGTCCGATTATAGCATAAAATAAAAAATTCATCGATTGGCTTGAGAACTGGTAACGATCATGATCACCTAGTAGAACAAGATATTAAAAAAAACAAAAAAGAAAAAAGCGTGGAAAAGACGGAAACACGACAACGAGCGGAAGTTGGCACTTCCGTCGACGAGAGACGACGAACATCCTGCGCTACATTTATTTCTGGAGGGAGAAGAAGAAGAAGAAGAAGAAGAAGAAGTGCAGTCGTTTTGAAAAAAAAAAAAGGAAATAAGAAGAGGAAATGTGAAGGCGATGAAACGGAGAAGGGAAAAATCACAGAGGAGAATGACAGAGAGGAAGAGGGTGGAGATAAAGGGGTGGGGCGGGGTGAGGGTGGAGGAAATAGGGGAGAGATAGCATATGAATGGAAAGTTAAAAACACCTAAAATTTCTCCTTCCCTCCTCTTATTCTCTCGGTGCGTGTACACGTCATGCTTTTGGCTTCGTTCCAACTGGTTGCACTTTCTCAAAGAGACAACGTGGGTGCATCCACCTTCTTCTTGTAAATTGATACCACTCGATCGCTAGCGTAGTCGTGAACGTGGTTATCGTGAAACCTTCGGTTATATACTTTGGCCACGACTAACTATAGGACAGGATATCCTGTGTGATTTGAGTGTATACATATACAATATATATATTTTGATTCTTTTTATTTTTTTATTTTGTTTTAATGAGATTTAATTAATAGAATCCTTTTTCGTTAATAACATTGATTTAGATGTAGGATGAACATATTTTGTTGTTGTGTGTTCGTTATTATATTTTATTCCGTGATTTGGTTGAGATATTTATGACTAGAGTTTCTTGTTTTATGTACGTGATAGAAGTAGTAACATGTTATATTAAATTTTCATTAATCTATTGTTTCTTATTTATATATTGTCAGAATTTTTATATTGTCAGAATCAGAAGATTGAATCGCATCGTAAATAAGAATCGAGTCAACGAACTCGATCATTGACGACTACGCATTAGCATAATCTCGTTTTTTGATTAGTTAGGTATATACACATATATGATAGGATCAAGTTTTCCATGATTTTACACTTCATTTATAATATTACGCTACTCCCTTTTCTTTCGTGTTCTCTTTTGTTTTTCGTTTTTTTTTTTTTTTTTTATAATTAAAGGACAGTGCCATAAATGGGTAGCAGGTAGGTTGCGATATGGAAATGGATGCAAGTGAAGGGTCTAAACGATTAAGTTTTTTAGTTGTGAATTAAACGCTTTGCTCAAAAGATCGAAAACGATATGTGGTATCGATAAGAGTTACTTGGGTTCTTGAATATTCGCGATATGCACTTATACGGGCTGCAAGGTATATATATATATATATCCTACGTGGGCACGAGAAGTAGTACTTTTTCCTCAGCTTCCACACCCTGTTCGTTCTCTTTCTCTCTCCTTTTCCTTTCTTGGATCGAGAGTCTGTTGCTACCGATATATACCGGGTGTCGTCAAGGGGTGTGTCAAGTTATTAACTCAAATCATAATACATAAATATTATACTTAAATTGAATTTCTTAAGATATGTTTTATTCTGAAAATATATTTTAATCCTAGAAAAAGAAAAAAAAAATAAAGAAACATTTCTTAAATAAAGTCATCGCACACAAATTTCGACAGTAATAAATAATTTGGTTATATTTGAAATACCAGGATTTGGATTGGTAGACATACGATTTTTGTAAATTTAAAACCCATGATCAGGTTTATATAATTTTATTCTATCTTATCTAAAAATATATAGTAAAAAATGTTTACTTTCATGTAAGAAGTAAACATATATTCATATATAGGTTAATTCTGAAAAGTTCGTAGGGTATTTCCGAAAAGTTCGTTGGGTATTACTGAAAAGTTCGTAGGTCCGTTATAACGAGACATGATCAAGTGCACGCGTATTTTGCGAAAATTCAAAGTCGATTTTCTCGAAGACAAAGCCTCAAACGAAAAAATTTTATTCTATATTTTCGATTTATTTTTTCATGTAGAATCACCCTTTTTTCGCTTGTATCACCAGTTACAGAGAGATCACCCTGTATAATATTACATGTATAATAAAAACTGTGTAATACAAAAGATAGACTTCAAGGAGAAATCGAGGATAGAATATATTTCAAGTAAGTGGTAGGAAGGATCAAGAGAGAATGCAAGTAGGGTTCTCTCAGTAAAGCGAACGCTGTGTTACATCACAGAGGAAAGGTGAGCTCGGAAGGACGTCTAATTCTGACTTGCTTACCGGCAGCCAACCAGTTTGTCTGGACTCACTCAGTGAGATCACTTGATGATTCTTTTTAACATTACCATGAAATAAGAGGAGAGGAGAAGGTAGGAGAAAAGTTTCACGAGACAGGATAAAGAAAAGATGATCTTTTTTGATTGTTTATAATATAGACATGATAGTTATGATCAAATGTTGGATCAATTTGTATAGATAGCAACAATAAGTTAGTCTAGTAATAAAGGTGATCATCATCATCTCGCCTTATTCGATTTCTTCTTGGCGACTTGGAAATAGGACGCAACTCATGAAACCGGTAAGCGTGTTATAGTGATAAAATTGCTATGGAGAGTACCAAGAGAAATGTCTTCTTTTTGCCCTTCCAATCGAGAAGGCGGAGCTCGTAGGAAGCTGCTGCTGTTGCTGCTGCTGCTGCTGCTGCTGCTGCTGTTGCTGCTGTTTTGCTAAACGTCAATGGAATGTTGAGAAAGTGATCGTCTACTGATTACTTGGCCACTTGAGATCAAATTGAACCGATGAACCAATACACCTGTGCTTGTTTCTTCATTTAGAATGATTTCTTTCATTGGATTTGCCCTGTTTTATTGCATACCTGGAATACCAACAGTCTGATGATATTCTGATCCTCTGATTATAGTTTGGTTTTATTTTACTCTTTGTTGAAGATTAATTTGAATTTTGTTTACAATTTGGTTTTGTTTGAATTATGATTTCAGAACACGTCATAATGCGTTTGTTCAAAAGACAAACAACGGACACCTGTCCTCAACTGGTATCAGCAACACCGATATCGCAAGATGAAACTTCGGAGACAGTGACAGTGAACGATGTTACTATAGAGCACAATGAAAATTCTTTATTGAATGATAAAAATGGTTCGTCGAAAAGGCTAGATAAAGATGCTGGAGACCTTGCTGGAGAGTCGGAGAAAACTGTAACTGGCCAATCGTTTATGATAACTCGTAAAGGTATCAACAATTCTTTATCGTCAATAATTCATTTAACATTTAAATATAATTGGATGATAATGATCAATAATATTAAATACATTATTTTCCAATTAGAATTTAATAATTCCAATAAGATGTTAAGAGAGGGGGAGGAAAAAAAAAGAGTGAAAGTTTAATAGTATTATACAATGAGGTAACAATCGTGATTAATTTGTAGGTATCTCAACATGGGGTCGGAAAGTAGGCCGAAGGTTGGATCAATTGAAGAGATCGGAAAGTTCGGAGTTACTTTCGGTCTCGGGTAGAAGACGTCGTTGGAGTCCAAATCGAAAGAGATACGAAGAAGGCTTGGAGGAAAAGGAAAATGTAATTAACTTAAGAACATTTTTGGTTCACATATTTCCATTTGAGACTCTCATTAACGTGAATAACCTTCTTTCTTTAATCCTAGGGTACGAACGAACATTCCTTTTCGGAATTCCCTAAGCCAAAGAGAGTTTCCAGAGTGGAATCGTTGAAAAATTTATTCCGTTCAACTGAGAGAAGTAATTTCTTAAGTTCGAATTCAACGTCGAGAAACGTGACAATCCAAGAGGAAAGTCATCATTCTATGGAGAAAGCTTTGAGCGATGGTGCTATTAAAAACATATCGGCGTTTCAATTAAAATCCGTGAATAATAACAATAATAGTAATAATAATAATAATAATAATAATAATAGCGATGAACGATTAAGGGAGACTTTCTTGTACGAAAAGCAACGACAATTAAGTCGTAGTATTCAAGATCTTCAGGAACAGGAACGTGTCATCGACTTTATTCTTATGAATCAGCAGGTGTTAAAGACTCAAGAGGGTACAGCATTGGTAAAGGAAACTTTGAATAAATTAGATAAGGCTGGTGGTAATATGAAGGATATATCGGAATGTTCTTCATCGTCGTCTAGGATTAACGTGAAAACGAATACTATATCTAGTCGAACGGAGAATAGGAATCATTTTATTAACATTCATGAACGCGATAGGTAAGATTATTATTTTAGATTGATTTTGTTTTGTTTATTTGTAATTATTTCTACAATGATTTGTTTTTAATATCAGTTTTAGGAACGATCAAACAAGATCTTGTCTCTTAACCGGTTTAGAGGATCTAATGAGCAATCTTCGTCTAGGATGCGATGAAAGCGGCTACGATTCCGATAGCACACGAACAGGTGCTGATTCTCCTGACAGTGAACAATGTATTCAAAGAATGACTAAGTCTCGTAGCTTTTCTATAACTTCCGATGATTATCAAGGTATCGATCTGTCTTTGCCGCCGATTATCGACCAAGCTGAACAACTTTCGAAAACTAGCGAGGATTCCGAGAATGTTAATGATAACACTGTAGTGGAGGCACGTCATTTTTTGAGTAATTCAATTAAAACTGAATCGACCTTAGTTATGTCGGAACATGACGATGACACCGACAGTTGCGACGAAAGTACTTTCGAGGATTACGAACAATGCCCTAAATCGGAATTTTTTGGTAATTCCATTAGAAATGTTTCTAAGATTGAATCAAGTCAATATTCAAAAATATGCCCAACTACAACTACGAAGAAAGTTGGTACTGTTAATCAGACGAATAAAACTGTTTCGAGTTCATTGATACAAACGAAATCAATGACTTCTTTAAGAAATCGAAAGTATGGAAGCGCTAGCGTGTTGACTCTTGTCGATAATGCTTCGTCTCCTTGTAAAGATAGTCCACCAGCTCAGAAGATTAATTCAACGACAATGTTAATGAATAGTCCTGTTCAACATTATACTCCTAAAAGATCTCGTTCTGCTTTGGAATCTGAAGTATCACCAAATGAGACTGTCAATAGGCTCAACAAAGTTAAGAGAACTATTTTTGCTGATAATCCTCGAACAACGATGATAACTTCAACGCCAGCGAAATCGACTTTAGTACGTCGAGAATTAAAGACTATGAAACTCAGCGTTGAAAGATCAGGCAATCTTGGTATCTCTGTAGAGAGACGAGAAGCAGTTAGACCGTTTTATGTAATATCCAAATTAGATTCCAACGGTGAAGCAGCCAAATCTAAACTATTTCGAATCGGTGATGAGATCGTCCGAGTCTGTGGTCGCAGATTACGTGGAATGACAATCATCGAAGCTAGAAATGCCTTACGTAGTTGCGTAGGTAACGTTGAACTTCAAATTGCCAGAGAACCAACGTTTACGTTTGGCGAAGAGATCGGTGATACTTGGGCTGATTTAGATAGAGTTCCTCGTTCTCGAAATGATTCTGAAGCGTGGACTTTACAAGAGAGTAAATCAGATCCTGGAGTAGTAGTATCATCCACCGTGTCTAAAACTGAATCTTCTCATAATAGTGATAATCGGTTGAAGGTCGAAGAAACTCCGACTAAACGGCCTAAAAGTGAATTGTCCATTAACGAAACCAGAGATGATACTGAACGAAAAATGACTGGTATGAGAAAGTTTCAAGTTATCAAAAAACGAACCTCACATCCAGCTTGTTATCCTAAAAGAGTATCAAGCCTTTCGAAAGATTTGCTTACTGTGACCTTGGAGAAAGGAGCAACAAAGAAACTTGGTTTCTCGATCGTCGGAGGATCCGATAGCAAGAAGGGTTACATGGGTATTTTTGTAAAGGATATTATGGAAGGTGGTCAAGCGGCCGAGGAAGGTACACTTAGGGTCGGTGATGAGATCTTAGCGATTAATGGCATACCAATGGACGGTGCAACCCATACCAAGGCCCTTCAGACATTCAAGAATGCCAAACCAGGCAAAATGATTCTCTGCGTTGGACGAAGGGATCCAACGAATAAACGGTTGTTTTACAATTGATAAGACAAGATATTTTTTAAATTTTGGGTTAGTTCTGCTTTGCTTTTTTGCTTCATTAACATTTTTCTTTTTACATTAGCGATAACGTTAAGCTTCAAAGTCTAATACTTTTATTTATTCTTTCCTGCAACTTTTTTTTTAATGCCTACGTAAAGCTCTATTTCTTAATTTTATTTTGTAATAATATTTTATTATTTTTTATATGACGTGTGTTTTAATTAAAGTATTTTTTATTTTTAGGTACATTACACAATCCAAGTCTTGCGATTGTTTAAGCAAATTAACGGAAGATGGATACGAATGATAATATGCTATAAAAAGATAATATTCTTATCTACACATGTATAAAAAATTTATATTTTCTTTAGGTAATATTAACAAAAGACGGATAGGTTCCCATTAATTATTTAAAATCGAGGTGTCTATGTTTTCTATTACACTCGACTAACATGTTGCATCGGTCTAATTTTGGTTACGAATTTTGCGTCGGGAGATATTTAAAAAAAAAATAATTTCGTTTTTTCATGTATATATGTATTAAAAACACTCATAGGATGTTTTTTCTCGTTTCTTGTCATTTGTCAAATACAAGGTTTATCATTGCTTGTTATTTGTTGCGCAAATGGTGTGACAATTAATATTAACAATTGTCAATTGTTTTCGTTACAGTTTTTGGTATTAGTTTATTTTATTTAAAGCCGTATATGTTATTTAATCCAACTTAAAGCAACGTGCAAATTTGTCTTATTTGATTTATTTCGTGATATCGTTTCGCTGTGTTCGCTGTCAGTTAATTACTTGGATGAATTTCGTTTAACTTTCATTTTTGCGTATATAATTAAGCGATGATTTATCAAGAATATTGAAAGAAAAAATATCCCGAGTTGTATGAATTTGTTTAGCTTAAATGGTATAGTTGTCGTTAGTGCTGTCTTTGTTTCAAATTTACACACTCAGCATTATTATATTATACACGTAAAGTAAGTGATAAAAAAGTTTATATATATTTATATATTATATCTATTTGTATGTATATCATTAACAAGAAAACAAGTTTTATTAATTAATTATGCGGCTTCGAATCATGTTAAAGGTTCTAAAGATACATGAAAGTTTGTTTGTGCGTTCGACGAAATACGAAAATTAAAAATAACAACATCATTACACATCTAACGTAGTCATTTCCTGTTAGAAATAACACGCTAACACTTTGGATTATGACGTATTAACATAACGCACAATATTTCATACTCGTAATAGTTTAACGTATGTTTCGCAATAGAAACATGGTTTTCGTTTAAACTAAAAAACACAGCCGCATTTTAATAATATCGACGATGGCATGCACCGATGACACTTACTTTGTACTTATTTACCATCTAATTATGGTCGTTCTAATATATTATTATTATTATAAAGATTTTTATGCTACCGAGACTGACATTTCAAATGTCTACCTGATATAATGCTGTGATATGTCGAATGTAGTCGGATTAGTTGATATCGTACAAATTGTATTTAATAATAAAAAATGATTTTGTTGAGAGAAACATATATAAATGTACTATTGCACATTTACTTATCTACAATCACAGGACGCTAGTTGATTGATTTAAGATTAGTTTAATATTGTTATTTATTATCCCGCTTGCGGAATATAACTTATAGCTGGTGGACCACTTGGAACAAACGACGGTTGCTGTTGTTGTACTGCTGGTATCGATGGCTGATAATTGTACATTGGTGGTGCTGGTGATTGTTGCTGGTAACTAGGATAACTGGGAACGTTTGTCGCGAGGTAGGTTTGCGCTGGTGGGCTTACAAAAGTCGATTGTGCAGGACTAGGATATGTTTGATAGGCAGGACTAGGTAAAAATGCTGGAGCTTGGGCTGGTGCTGGAGCTGGTGCTGGTGCTGGAGCAACAGATTGATAAACACTTGGATAACCTGGCTGAGCAACTGCAGTACCAGGAGCTGGATAATAAGTTTGAATAGGAGGTCCTTGAACTGCAGGACTTTGAACATAATTTACAGCTGGACTTTGAGCATAATTTACAGCTGGATTTTGAACATAATTTACTGCTGGTACAGTAGGAGGGCTTGTTTGGAATGGTGGAGCAGGATTGAAGGCTGCTTGTAAGCCAGTATTAGGAGGTGTTTCAATAGGATAAGTAGCTGTAAGAAAATTTGGTGCTGGTTGTGCTGCTGGAGCAGGAGCAGGAGCAGGAGCAGGAGCAGGAGCAGGTGCAGGATAGTACGCTGGACTAGGTGCTTGGGAATACGCGGGGTAACTTGGACCTTGCACTCCAATTCCTTGACTTGGAGTACCTGGAGTACTAAAAGATGTTTGCCCAGACACAGGTCCAGTTATTTTTGTGACTGGCGAATACGCTCCGGTTGACGTATAAGTAGATGGACCTTGAGTATTATAGTATGCTGCATTAGCTGTAGCTGTATTCGCAGTAGCTGGACTCGATGGAGTGCCATAATTGATAGTGAATGAGAATGACGAGGTAGCAGGGCCGCTGAGCTTCGCTACTCCAGAATTTGGAAAAGATGAAGGAAAGCCAGAAGAGCCGCTTCCTGTGGAACCACTGAGAGTAGGTTGCCTGTTATTTCCTTGATTATAAGGAGGTAAATATGGTGGTGCAGGTGTCGAGCTAGGTCTGCTGGATGTATAAATTTGTTGGTTATTAGCTGGTCGTTGTGAAATACTTGGTGGTAGGTACCTTGGTCCTGAAATAGGACGCCTAGCTGGTGGCGCTGGAGAGAAAGGACGTTGGGTTGTAGTATAGGTTGGTGGAGGAGATGGTGAAGGGGGTAAATATGCTGGATATGTCGGTGGTGGAGGAGGAGGCGGAGGCGGTGGAGGTGGTGGTGGAGGCGGAGGTGGTGGTGGTGGCGGCGGAGGCGGAGGAGGAGATAGAAATATAGGCAATCGTTCTCAAG